GTTCGACGCTAGCGCCGAATTAAAATTATCAACAATCGTTTTAATTCATGTAACTATAATTATCAACAAACAATTTTATTCATGTTTCACAGAAATTGTAGTAAATTATTCGATAGTTACAAAAAAAGTATATATGACAAACATTTCCTTGCAAAAATTTCAAACAATGAATCTATATTATAACTGTTCGCAACTTTTCAAATTATTTCATGTAACATTTTGAATCAAGTGTCATTTGAAATAGAACAAATTTTGCGAACAATCGTTTTTAATGTGTCGAACAAATGCATGAATCAATTGAATTCAAACAAATAAATTGTTAGTTGAATAAATTGAGGAATGAATATTTGTAACAAGTAAAACGGCCTTCCATAGATAACTGAACTTTGATGTAATAATGATAGTTATTACTGGAGTTTTTCCCAACACCAAACTGTTATTTTAACACTTCGACATGTGTTTCGATTACCAAGTGATCATCTTCAAGAGGAAGATTAAACTAAATATACTTACTTGTTTTTGTAAACAAGTCATACATAGGAAATCCAAAAGACAAAGTCGAGAATTCGAAAAAGTCTGGAATTTACGAAATTAAATGTGATGACTGCGATGCGAAATATTATGCACAGACAAAAAGATTTATCAAAATGAGATATAGATAGCTAGATAGATAGATAGAAGTTTATTGATCAGACACTAATTAAACATTGGATTGACAAGTTGAAATAACATAGTAACATTTTGCTTATTGCTAAAATAAAATATGAAAATTATTAATGTCCGTAAAATATAAGAATACTTGTATAAAACTATCCAATAGAATTAAAATCGTCAATAGGACTCTGACACTATATCGTGAATTTCTTTATATCATAGAATGCATTCAGGATCAGAAAATATTTCAGTTTAAACTTGAATCTGAGCAGGTTCGACTGGTTTTTCAATTTATAGGGTAATAAATTGTAGAAATTCGCGCCTGCATATTTTTGGTATTTTTTGTATTTGTTGTATGTGGCTAGTTCTAGTCTAAATTCGTTTTTTTCGCGAGTTTGGTAGTTGTGAAATTTTGAATCTTTCATGAGACTGTTTTTGTGAATGTACGTGTGAATCAGAAGTTTGTATAAATAAATACTTGTGAAAGTTAGAAGATTTTTCTCTTTGAAGATATTTCAGCAGGATTCTCGATAATCCAAATGGAACATCAGACGAATTATCCTTTTTTGTGCTTAAAAGACTCTGATACTATCGGTGGCCAAACCATAAGTAACAATGTTATAACTTATAGTCGAGTAAACCAATGCATAGTACACAGAAATTATACCCTCTGTATCAAGGCAACTCATCAGATTTTTCATTGTGAAGTAGTGTTTATTCAATTTGAAGCTGAGCATAGTGATGCATTTCTGCCATCTGAAATTATTATCAACAATTGTACCTAGAAATTTGCAACTTTCTTGAAATATTATTGTCTGATTATTAATATTTAGTTGTTCTGTGAAAAGTTTTCCTGTTTTGAATCTCTGGAATTGAACCGCAATAATTTTGATATAATTTATGATCAAACGATTCTTTTTAAACCATTACCAAATTGGAGAATAACGTTATTTGTTTTTCTGAGTAGCTCATTTGTATCTGGGCTGGATACTATTATAGATGTATCGTCTGCGAACATATAAACCTCTCCGTCATTTATGTAATCAGGAAGGTTATTGATGAACAATAAGAAAATTAAGGGGCCGAGAACGCTCCCCTGGGGAATACCAGTGTCGATTAAGTAATCATCGGAAGTTTGTTCACTAATTTTCACTATTAGCTTACGACCTTCTAGAAATGAACGGATCCATTGTGATATGCTTCCACGAATCCCAAATGCATTCATTTTTGTTACAATGAAATCAAAGTTGACAAATTGTACAAATACAATAATGGATTCTTTTCTCTCTAGTTTTTCGTTTATAATTTGTATGAACTCTATTTTTGCCGTTTCAGTGGAATGACCTTCTCTGAATCCATGTTGTTTTTTATTCAGTATATCAAACTTACATAGAAAGCTATTTATTCTTTTTGATATACCTTTTTCTAGAACTTTTGATAAAGTGCTCTGAAGCGCAATAAGTCTGTAGGTCATGGGGGACATTTTATCTCCTTTTTTGTAAATAGGTGTCACTAACGATATTTTAGGCGACTTGGAAATTGTCCTAATTCAATTGATAAGGAACACTTAGCACACTTGAAATATGGAAGACCTGAAAAATCAGCAGTCATCCATCATATTCTGCAATAAAACCATTCCATAGACTTTAGTTCATTAAGATTAGTCAGCTAAGTTAACAACAACAGGCATCTAGATGTCTACGAAAGTGTAGAAATAAGTATAGAGGTGGAACAATACCTAATAGTATACTATAACATTGTTAAAATGATATTTTGATCATTAGTTTTACCTGACTGTTACATAATGATACATCGTAAAATTGATTCAAGACTAATAGATAAAAAAATATTGTAAAATTGATTTTAGACACTCAACACGGTGGTAACTAGAATGGGTATCTATGGTATGAATAAGGATAACATGAAGTAACTTCAGTTCAATCTTCCTCTTGAAAATAATCACTCAGTGATCGAAACATGTTTCAAGGTGTTAAATTAATGGTTTGGTGTTGGAAAAAAAATCCAGTATTATTCATTACTACACCAAATTTTCCAAACAGTGCATCACAAGTAATAATGATGATAATGATAATAATGAAGGACTGAACAGAAAACAACTACTCTCCTGACTAATATCACGGGGGGCGTTGGATTATATACGAATGGTGTCAGTGCAGGATTCTCGTCAGAAGTACTTCCTGCATATGCCGTTGGCGATACAACTGCCACAATAGATTTTGAATGATTGGAGCACATTGCAGACCGGTTTTGGGTTTTTTGACCACTCGTCAGTGCTAGGTAGTGTCCATCATCAACATGAAGTCGATGATTTTCCATATTTCACAATCGAATTCCTTTCAGAGTATCATCTCTTGAACAAAGCTGAAGCAAACGACAAAGAACATTATTGTCATCGCCCCATCTGTCCGTCAACGAGGTACTAACCAACCGCATATCCGAATCGCCAAATTCCTCGTGAGAGAAAAACCTTTTTAGATATAGTGAATGGGCATATATCTGAAAAGTTTTTTCTCTCAGGAGGAATTGGGCAATTCGGATATGCGGTTGGTTAGTACCTCGTTGACGGGCAGATGAAGCGATGACAATAATGTTGTTTGTCGATTGCTTCAGCCTTGATCAAGAGATGATACTCTGGAAGATATAGAAGATAGTTCTTGCTCTTCTAAATATCACATATGTCATAATTGAAGCAGCAAATCGAGGAAATACGACGGCTTTGGTAGTGTTAGTACTGTTCTCACAAAAGCATTCGATACAATCATTCAGTAAAGTTTATATGCTATATATACTACATAGGCTGAAATATTTCGGGCCTTACTCATAGATGACGCTAGTCTTATTGTACTCACCACTGGAAATCAACTGGTTGTTCCGATCGAAATCAGCTCATTTGAGGTTTATAAATCATTATTTAATAGATAATTATAAGTCATTTTCATTTTTCATTAACAAATACATCAACAATAAACAGGTCCAAGATGAAGCGGATGTTCTCATTATTGAGACAGCTATTGAAGAATCTAAACGTCAAAAAACAGCAATTATAGTCGGTGAAGATATTGATTTACTTGCGATTTTAATTGGGCGTACACCATCTCTTGAACAAGAGATTTTCTTTAAAAAAGTTGGCAAAGCAAATGTGAAAACGGAAATATACTCCTCTTAGAGTTTCGACAAATATTCAAGTTCAAAAAAACACATTTTGTTTTTTTCACACTTTGAGCGGCTGTGATACGACTTCTGCGCTCTTTAAAAAAGGAGAAAAAATATGTTTTTTAAGAGCATTTGAGAAAGTATCTAATTTGGATGAACTTGCCGCAGCATCTGAAGGAGAAAACTGCCCGGTTCGGA